TATAATTATAACTTGAAACAAGATTAGATATTTTAAATAGTTAGGATGAAAAATTTTGCGGGATTCTGACATGATCCAAAGTACTCCTGGTGGCAGAGCTGTCACTAAACCGACAGTGCTGTTATTTTAAAATTGTCTTTTGGTGCCGCATAATATGAAACGAGCTAATTAGAGAATTTATTATTCATTAAAACGGAATGGTGACAAATAAGCTTGCGCAAATTTTGTTTAAAAATTTGACTTGATCGACATTAATTACAAATTAACAATTAATGCTAAAAAGATTTATACGCTTTTATAAGTTTTGAGAGGAAAAAAAGTTCAATCTAACAAATTTCGTCAATAGTAAAGAAACATTTGGTCATTATATTTTTTCCAAAAAGAAAAAAAAAGCCTTATAGGTTCCAATTTTTCCAATAATCACTACACCGTGGGCACCAAATAGTTGGATTAATGTCAACTTAACAACATACGATGGAACTGATAAATAAATTATAAAAAATAATAAATTACACCTAACCGAAGCAGGATTCGAACACCGGCCGGATCTTACTAGTACGAGGCCAGCTGCTTGACCACCTTACAACCGGCCGGCTTCTTCCGTCCGTCTTCATCCTATTAGTCTTCATCCTTATTACGTCATTCTAGTTAACTGTCAAAAGTAAAAGTTTTGCTTCTGAGAGTGTATATATATATATTTTATAATGAACTAATCCTTAGAATTATTTACAGATAGGTATTGGAGAAGTTTTTGGAATGTCTACCTGATAGAAGAAAAATTAGCAAAAATATCTTAATACCTACATAGAAATTGTGGCTGGCATTTTTACCCTTTTCCCACCCAAAACGCACTTAAAAACTCTCTAAATATATGAAGACGTTTCAGTTCTCGCATTTAACACTTATTTGTATACCTGCTGTATTTAAGTTGTACAATATTTTTCACAAAGGAAATAAAACATGATACAGTAAGGAAAGCGGAAACCTTGTTTGAAAAAAAGTAAAAACATGTTCGTTAACAACAACCAAATTTGAAAAACGCATAATACGCAAAGCCTGTTTTGTAAAACATAAACATTTTTTAAGTTCGTGAAACCGCTTTTTTTTAATTTACCTTATTAAGTAAATATTTCTTGCAAATATTTGTAAGTTCAAAAATTCCTTATGCCATAATTTCAAGAAAGGGAGCGAAAGAGTACTAATAGCCTCATTTTATTTTATATCTCTCTGAACTGTTTTCTAAGTGAGGAATGCTAATTTGAGTATCATATTCATTTTCCAACTAGGTTATTTTAAAACATGCGTAATGTCACATACTTTGAGTAAAAAAATTTAAAATGTGAAAAGAAAAATGAAAATTTAAGAAATAAAATCTCGCATTCTATCCCTTAATATCAACTTTCAAATGAAGAATATGTATTTTTTTTTAAATAAAATGCAGTGAAATTAAAAAATGAATTCAGAAATAATGAAATGCATTTTGTAATGTACCAGATAATGTTTAGTTATTACTTTAATGTTTAGTTACTACTGATTTGTTATTACTTGTTTGCTATTACCTGTAAGTTATATGCTTGTAAGCATATTGTTACTTACAATATTTTCTGCTTTCCTGCACAACAAACGAATAGTTACGTTAATGAAAAGTAATGCTCTGCTGTTAAAATTCTTTATTAATTTGTGCAAATTCTTAGCACTTAGTAAGTCAATAAAAATATTTTCAAAAGTTAAAAACTGTAGTAAAACTATTCATTAATTTTTAGAGTTAAAATAGTTTCAATAAAAAAGTAGGATTTTAAAGTAGTATATGATTTATAGTGATAAGGTCAAACCTTACTCTGTTGCCACTTTAAAAGTCATAAAGTGAATATTCAATTTTTAAACACAAGATCATTAACAAAAAACTAGAAACCACTTACAATTATTTTTATTCAAAGCAGGAAATTCAGAATATTTCATCATATGGAAAAATTCTTTATTTCGCCTACACAAAGATAATATATATTTAAATTTTCTTTTGTTGCCTGATGTCAAATGCTGAAACGAAAAAAGAAATATTTAACTGAAGCCAAATATCTTGATCATAAGAAGTATAATTTATTTTAAATAATATATAATCATGATTTTAAAAAGATTAACTTCCTGAAAAGTAGACAAATTGATATTTAATATTCGATTGAATTTAAATTACGAGTGAATTTAAATTGTCTAAGAACTAAATTGTTAGTGTTACATAAATTTCAACGTAAAAGTTTTCTGCTTTTGAAAAAATGCTTTTAAAAAATCATATTGCGATTAAGAAACCTATTAAATTCAAAAAATGCAGAATGGTTTAACCTTCCAAGCGTTCAACCCACGATGTTTCGCAATTTTAACTATTTGTTTTCCTAGTGCAAGATAATTTCTTCTTTTCTTAAGAAATGTAAAAATGCTGTTCGGACAAAAAGATTACACGCCCTTTTGCTTTGTAACAAAAGGTTTTAATTTTTTAAACCTTTCTTAGAATTAAAATTATAATTTTGAATATTTTTAACAAGAGAATATCACTATCTCGCAATTAAATTTTTTAAGAACATTTTTTAATCTAAAAAATTTTTTCCAAATATAACAATGCCATTAAGTGCATGGGATTTTTGTCATATATCAGCTCAAATTGTTTTCCTGCAGAATAAAACAGTTCACCCTCTGTTTTTTACTGAAGACAGGGGGGAGAGATGGAACATTGACATCCCTGACATTGTCATTGGGGTCAGGGGAAACGATCCCATGTACTTTTTAACGCATTTTCGACCGTAAACGCACCATTTCAATAAATGCTTTTATTAACACTGTGGCTTTTATTTTTCAGTTATTGTCAAGGGTTTGGAAGACATCTTTAAAATATTAGTAATTCAATTGGAATGAACTCCTTTTCTCCTTTTTTTTGAGAAATTTTTAGACAACTCTCCTTTCTTAACTCGAAACGGTCATTAACGGATTTTTGTTTCAGAAAGTGTATAATTGTTCCATTTGAGATTGTTCATGTGCTTTTATGACGGATTAAAGTTTAAAATTCTGCAAATAAAATAAAATGAAACAAATTTCATAAAAAAATCTAGTGTTCAACTAAATGGTTTGTTCATTGATTTAATCCAAGGATGCGTATTCGTACCATTTTATTTCTTATATAAAATATTATCTTTTATGCGCTAAACTTTTTCGTAGTTTAATTAATGTAATTTAAGATTATTTCAATGAAAATAGTATCCCATTTTATAATTTTTTAATGTTCATCCAAAAATGGGTTAAACTAACATTTTTAATTTTCCAACTGTCTCTTTTATAATTAATGATTTAGTTTCCTCAGAAATATCGAAACGCCACAGTATGTTCTTTTAAAATCAATTTTCTATGAAATGTTTTTAAAAATATCACATGGCGACTGAAAAAACATTGAATTTTAAAGCGGTAAAGGAGTTTAAACCATTTGTACTTTCAATTCATATTTTTCATATTTTAATATGATAATTTTTTTTCTTTCTTTTTTTAAGTACAAACAAATTGTTCCTCTTTTGAATAAATGAGAAACTGGGCTAAGATTTAAAAATTCCACGAACTTAGGAAATTCTTCTTTCTTTTTTTTTTTTAATTATCTAAACCTTTTCTTATAATTAAAAATTTGACCTATGAAAAATTGTTTTAAACAGGAAATTATCATAATAAAAAGGTTTTAATTTACCTTACATTTCTTTCTTTATAAAACAACTCTTCAGAGGCATCTTTTTAAATACCACTAAATATGAATACATAAAATAATTTTCTACTTTATACATAACATAATTTGCACATAACATGAATTTACTCTAACATGAATTAGCAAACATGAATATCAATTTTCTACTTAATGTTAAACATAATAAAGGTATCTTTTAACGTATGAATTTAATTGCAGTTCCTTTCAAAATGTATATCAAACTTATATGTAAAATTTAATGCATGAAATAGGTAATGTAAATGCATACACCCCCAAAACAATAAAACACACATCAACCCGAAAACGCGAAGAAAAAAAAATCCTAATTTGACGAAGAAAATAAAATGTACCTTGCTTATAACCCTTGAAACATATCAATCAATTATACATAGCAATCAATACATAGCAATCAATTATACAATTATACATAGCAATCAATTAGTGAGAAAATAAGAAAAAAAATTAAAATTAGTTCAGCACTGGAAAAATAATTAAACTTCAAAAATATAGAAAAGTTAGTATTTTTCTATAAATTCTTACTTAAACATAATCTAATAAAATAAATCTTATTAAAATAATATGAATTTTTCATTTAATACTGAGCATATTGATTATCGCAATTTTTAACTCATTAGTTTAGTTACAGTCCCTTAAAAAATGTAAAAAGTAATCACATAGGTAAAGTAGATGAATAATGCATCCCAAAACAATAAAACACACATCAGCCAAGAAGTAGTAAAAAATCGAAAGAAAAAAAATTGTCATCTGATGAATAAAATAACATGTAGCTTGCTCATCTAAAGGAAGTTTATTTCGTGAGAAAAGAATATAAATTTTTAAAAATCTTTTCTCATTGGAAAAATAATCTGATTTCAAAAATTTGAATTTTTTTTTTAAATATTCTTTATAATTCTTGCTTAAATAAAAACTACTAAAATAATCTTTTTAAAATAATATGAATTTTCTTTTAAACATTAAGCATACTGATTATAAAAATTTTTAATTTATCAATTTAGTAACAGTCCCTTTAAAAGAAATGCAAAATGAAAACACAACATAGGTAACGTAGATGAATAATACCCCCGAAACCAATAAAACACATATCAGCCCGGAAGTGGTGAAAAAGTGAAAGAAAAAAAAAATCGTCATCTGATGAAGAAAATAAAATATACCTTGCTCATCTAAAGCACCACCGCATTCTACTCTACCAGCTTCCCCCTTTACCTAAAATCGACCGCGCCTACAATATCCAGTAAGAGACTGCTGCTCTGGAAAGAGATTCAATTGCGGCTCTGTCTTCACAGTAAGCAGAACTTCGTAGGTGAGAACCGCTTTGAGATAAAGTGAAAATGGGCGCCAGTTATTGAACCGCTTATTGACCGAACAAAAATTATAATTAAGTGATTCGTCGTTTATTATTAAACGCATCATTTATGAAAAAATAAGAAAAACTAGAAATAAATTGAAACTTTTGTTCTTGAAATAATAAAAAAGAGAACTTTTCTCCTCAATTTTCTATCGACCGGTGTATGATTCTAGGGACATGGCACCCCTGGTACTCAGGGAGCTTATTGCTTACATCATGCTTATTATAGTTCTTACTTTAATTATCAACTTTGAATCAACAGAATCAGCTAAAAATTTTGAAGCTGCTTTCCAAGGTAAGTGCTTTGGATAATTCTGAAGTTTTTAATAGGATGATTAGCTCTCATACATTGTTTGAATTTTGCATGAAGTGATAAAAAGTAAAAATCAAACATTTTAAATTTAGAAAAAAGAAAAAAAACTTTGATCAAACAGCCTATCGCCCCACATAACATCAAAAAAAAAATTTTTTTTTAAATCTACTTAATATTTTTATACTGAAAAAGAATAATTATAGGAATTAATTTTCCTTTTTTAGAAAATAAATTTTATAAATTACTTTTTAAAAAAGAAAAAAAAAATTTCTGTAATTTGAACACAAAAAAAAACAGTTCTTAGCATAATACCAATAAAAGAATAGTTTATTCAAAATTGAAAACACGCCTTATCAAAACTGAAACAAAGTTTTTTTCGTTTTTGTTTTATTTTTAACATTTGATTTTAAACATATTCTGCATTAGCTAAATTACAAGTAACAAACCTTTCTTCTTAGCTTAGTATGCATATACATAGATTAAATTTATTTAAAAAAATGGGAATTTCAAAGTAAAATCCATTAAAAAAATGCTTCATTTTAAAATCAAAATAAAAGCATAACTTTTTTAAATTTACCGTATCAAACTTTGGATATTAATCAGTATTTTAATATTATAAGTACAATTATTATCTGAGTTTTCGATCCATATATTTTCCGTTTTTCTTGTACTTCACCTATATTTGTATTCAATGTAGGGCAAATGTGAAACCTACAGAACCATTTATTAAACAAAACAACACATTACCAAATATCAACTCAGCATTAATTGAATTTTGCTTCATTATTTAGTACCTATTTATGAAAACAGTAAGGTCGTTCCGTTTATAATTTTTTTTATATTTTTATATCAATTTTGTCTTTTGCGTCTAAAATTTTAGAAAACGTTTCCGCTTAAAATAATAATGTCATTCGAAGTTACAAGTATTGTGCATTGATTTAAGTTTTAGATCTTTTTTAAAGATATGTTACATATTTGGGTAGGCATATAAAATATTTATGTATTTAAAAAAATGCTAATAAGAATTTATTAAGAATTTTAAAAATATTTGCAAGCTCTTTTATTTTTTTTACATATATTTTATGATAAAGTTCTTTTCGTCAAGATATTTATGTTTAATATTAAGCATCTACGTATGAATAATTCCTAGACAAATATTGTTATTCATCCAAACGTGTCCAAAATTAGTAATAAAAAACTTTTAAAAAAAATTGAAACCCAAACATAACTTAGACTAATAATAACCAACATTTTAAATCAGAACAGAGACATTAAAAAAAAGTTTGATACTTTTTTGGTAGTTTGCATAATTACTAAAATATAACTTATATCGATATTTGAAAAATAAAAAAGAAGCTGCTAGTTTACTTTCCCATATCTGATTCATTCAAATGAGTGAAATCAATATTAACTTCCTTCCTTACATCCTTATCTTACCCGATCCAAATTATCAAATTGTGTTATAAGCTCTGTAGAAAACGACCTTACATCGCACTTCCTAAAATTATTTTTAAAAAAATACTAAGTTTGATGTATTAAACTACCCATGTTTCTGTATAAAAAGAAATGTATCCTAAGTGCTAATCGCATACAAGGCTGGATTTTTTCGTTCACTTAATCTTTTAGGTAAAGAAATAATATACATATAATTTTTTGTCTAGTTCGTTTTGGTTATATATATTAAATATAAGTTTGAGAAAGAAACAAATTATAAAAAGTCGTAGAAAAGTTATCGAATCAGCAATGGTGAATAACACTTAAAAAAATCTTTTCAGATACTTAAAAGCTCAATATAAGATATATATTTTAAAATAGATTTCAAAAGAATTTTAGTTACATTTTTATTTCAGCTATTAAAATGCTATCTTAAAAATACTACTAAAATACTGAGTTATTTCGGAATTCATAAATCAAAAGATAGAAATTTATTCTAATTATTACATTTAATCTTGAAAATTCTTGAAAATCACAGAGATCGAGGTTCTTAATTAAATGAAAAAGTCTTAATTTAAAGAAATCATTTACAGTCAACATTACACTTCGTTTGCTGGACGAATAGAACTGGAGACTTATTTAAGGCCCAAATTTGAAGTTTTAAATAAATTCTAACATGATATTTGCTCCAAAATAGACCTAACATATTTTATATATTATTTTCTGACCTGAGCACTGCCCGTGGAAAAATATTTAGCCCGAATAGCGCGCGACATTTCCGGTACATCTTTCGTGAAACCGTGCCCAAGGATCGCCATTTAGCTTAGAGAAATGTATAAATGTTAGCATATTCATGATAATACAAGTAGGAATTTCAATTTAATTTCTACAGATCTGATAGAGTATAGATTTCTTAAAGGTATATTTTCTTTATGAATTAACATATAGTGGTGTTCATAAATGCACTAATTGATCGAAGTTTGTCTCCTTCTCGCTACTATCATTACTTTTTTAAAAGCCGAATCGAAACCTCTACATGAAATATCTGTTTGACTACAATATAAAAAATTCCGGAAAAAATCACCAGCACTCCGGGTGGCGGTGCATTTTACCGTAAAATCCCTACTTACAGCAAAATTTTAAGGAGATAAAATCTGATCTGCCGTAATTTTTGCAGTAATATTTACTAGGAAATCACTGTAATTAAATAAATATTACTGAAAAAATACGGTATACGGTATCTGACAGTGAAATGGATTTTACGAATTATGCACCCTAAGTGCTTGTACTTTTTACCACAATTTGATCCCGATTTTTTTACAGTGTAGGTGTCTTAGAGAGATTTGCTATAAGATAAGATGCTCTAAGTTAATTTCCGGAATCAATTTTATATGTCACAATGATTCGGTTATGAAAATATATTTAAGCCAATAGATTCTACAAAATATCTCAAGCAGAATTCCTGCATAGCATTTAAAGAAATTAATTGATTGTTCTTGAATTTAATTCTGTATTTAAATTGATTCCAGATTTTATAATCTATAAACTAGCCCTTCCTAAGAAGGAAAAAAAGGGAATTTAAAATTGTGGGGAATTTTGAAGGGAATTTAAAATTGTAGCCAGCATCTTTTTATGTCCATAAATTCCAAAGTTATAAATGTTCTATGGAGAAAAAGTATACTCGCAACTATGAATTGTCATTCAAGTGCGATTGGGTTGAGCATTAGCATTTCATGCCAGTCTCATTTAATATGTTTAGAAATTAAAACTATCAATTATTTAAAACTTGCCAAAAACATTTCATGTTTCATCGATTTCTTCCTTTTTTTAAAAAAAATTTATCGTCTAAGGTATCGTTTAATTTTTTCCTTAATATGGAATAAAAATAATTAAAATACTAACTGTATATCAAAATCAAATTCTGTCAAATCCCTACATTAAAAAAACAAAGCACATTATCACAAAGCACTTCTAATATTCAAAAATAAAAGTCATCAACTAAAAGAAATAATTGTACGAAAATTCATATGGAAAACAAATACATGAAATATTAAAAATGTGGCTAAATTTTTCAAAGAAATCTATATCAATACGGTAATCTGTTACTCTATTTGCTGTTTAGATAAAAAAAAAATTTACAAGTTTTAAATATGTATGCATAAAAAACTGTTCCATTATGGATTTGATTTTGGTTTTCGATTATTCATAGTCGTTTACTAATAATTAACTTTTTATTCATAATGATCGAAGGACCAACATCTATGAGCATCTATGGAGCTTATAATTAATAAAACATTTCAGAGCAATTATTTTTAAGTCGGACAAACAGGTTTGCTTTTAGAATGTAATCTCCCGCAATATTTAATATCTTCATAACAATTTTTAAAAAATTTAAAAAGTAAAAAAAGTCATAAATAAAACTGATTTTACTATTTCCATTTCAATTATACCATATCAATAGTTGCATTTTATTTTTAATTATGAACAATTTCTGCATACCACTGCATTATTAAAAAGTTGTGAAAAATAAATCATATAAGAACCTGGTTAAGCTACCTCATTTAACGGCATAAGCTACTTTTTTTTTAAAAAAAAAGCTGATATTAAAAAAAAACATTATTAATTTGAAGATTTATTAAAAAAATCCTGTTTTTCAACATAAATAATTTATTCTAACGCGACTAATCAATAAGTAATAATAGAAAATTAACGAAAATAAAAAAAATGAAACTGCACTTCAAAATCAGGATCATTTATTTATAGGAATTATTTTTAAAAGTATTGTATTACGTTTTATGCTTTTTGTTTTTTTAATAAATTTGTGACATAGTCTAAAAAGTTAATCCATAAGTCTTATATTTTAATTTGAAAAAACATTAAGAACTTAAAATCCTCGCACAATCTATGGTTATTTTAACTTTCACCCCATTTTTTATTTATTCTTTTTAAACAAAATATCTGAAAATGCAATTTCAATAAATCGTCATGCTCTATAACGTATATGATGTATTTTCATTGACTGTACTATAAATCGCAAAATGATACGTTTCATAATTCTAGAAGTAGATAAAACTTTTATTTTAATAAATCTGGATTAGCATCTAGCAAAAAGATAACGCAAACATTTGAAGCATTCAGGACTAAACAAAAATATTTTTAAGCAGTATTCTCTAGAAAACAAAATCATTTCTAAGACATTTCTTTAAAACAAGAAGATAATTTTCGATCACTTTCAGATTTAATAACCTAGCATAAAAAATAAATCTTCGTTTTATGTTCTCCCACACTAGATGCATAATAAAGCATTCCATGGTTTGTGAAACAAACACGAAATAATAATAGTATTGATCTTTATTAAATTGATACATTAGATACAGGCTTGAAAGGAATTTAGTTATTCGAAATTTATTATATTTAGAGTGTCTTTTTTCCCTAAAAAATACTCTGTAAAAACACTGTACGTACACTGTAAAAATTCTGGATCAAACTAAGGTATAAAGTACCGGCACTTTTGGAATAATCATCCGTAAAATCCATATTTACCATAA